GCCCCAAAAATATCATTTTTCCTTTTAAAAATTCGTACGGGAAAAATCCCACACCTGTCAAGGAAATCTGCTGCACTCGAATGGTATTTTTCCCCACACACTCGTATAGGAAAAATCCTACACTTGTCTCGTAGATCTGCTGCACGCGTATGGGATTTTTCCCACATAGTCGTATAGGGAAAATCCTACACTCTGTATATGTAATTTGCTTCAGACACATTTATGGGATTTTTCCGACACATATTTTTTACAGTGATGTTCATGGAAGGGGTTGCCCGGGAAGACGCCGCGCGACGCAGGGTGAGCCAGTGAGCCAGCAGTGGCCTTACCCCCCGGGTGAAACGGTTTGTATACAACTCACTAAGAAATTTTATTACAAATTATATACTTTTATAAAATTAAATATGATTGTGTACATCGTAATATAACGATATAAAGGGTATTTTACAAGTGTGTATTATATTTGGTAAAACTTTATACAATTATATACAGAGACATGTATACGTTTTTATAAAATTGAATACAATGTATATACAATACACGTGCCGTATATAAAGCGACTTATGTCAGAGCATCTTTGTATCTGACGCATATAAAAATGTATACGGGCCCATACACTCAAACAGTGACTAATGACGTAACTGACCACGGCCCTAAATGTAGGCAAAGTGTGGTTGAGTTCTAAAATGCAGCATAACTTGTAAACGGCAACACATAGGAAAGTGAAACCACCTCTATCGTGGTCAGGGCAAAAAGGTGATTTCGAAAACATGTTCGCTGAAATCGCTAGTCACCCACTCAGCCCACCTTTCCTGTGAGTTAAATAAAACGCTCCTGTATATATTGTATAATATTTTATAAAAAGTTATACTGACAAAGTAATACAGTTTTACCAAATGTAATACAGATACCTTTATACAGCCTTATACAATTACCTCTGTATACAAATTTACTACCAATGTTTTTTCACCCGGGCCCGTGCGCCCAGAGACCTTTCTCTGGGAGCAGTTCGATTGTCCGACCTCAAACAAATATATTACCAACATACGCTTAGTATAGAAAAGACAAGAGGCGAATACCGCCCACGTCCCTATTTTTGTACGTCCCTACTTGTGGCCACAAAATTGTGGCCCAGTCGTGGATGAGAGGGCCTGGTAGGTAGGCGGGCCCGCCGAATAGACTTGCCGTACGCTCGCGGCGCTACTCAGTGAGTGGGTGACTTTGCGACGAGTTGTGGCTGCGGCCCAGTTGTGGATGAGAGCCCAGTTGTGGATGAGAGCGCCTGGAGGGTAGGCGGGCCCGCCAAACATACTCGCCGTACGCCCCCCACCTTGTTTGTAATTTGTGGGTACCCTTTGGGACGAGTTGTGGCTGCGGCCAAGTTGTGGATGAGAGCGCCTGGTAGGTAGGCGGGCCCGCCATACATACTCGCCGTACGCCCCCCACTTTGTTTTTAATTTGTGGATACCCTTGGCACGAGTTGTGGCTGAGGTCCCAGTTGTGGATGAGGGCGCCTGGAGGGTAGGTGGGCCCGCGGAACATACTCGTTGCACGCCCGTGGCCGTACCCAGTGAGTGGGTGACCCTGGGATGAGTTGTGGCTGAGAGCGCCTGGAGGGTAGGCAATCCTTTTAAAAGCTGTTCTTCGTGTTTGGGGCCCCCTGGGCCCCATTGCGTTCGTTTTTACGCATCCGGGGCCTTTCGGTTCGTTACGGACTATGTGCAGAGCATGTGCTTACCTTCTGGTTACACCCTCCTGAAGGCTTTGGATTTCATATTACCCGAAAATTGGTGTACTATAGTCGGGTCGGATTAAGCTGACTCTGGCCGCCGGGTTTGTGGCCACAATTGTGTGGCCACAAGTAGGGACGTTATTTTTGTGGCCAGAATGCCGGCGGTCAGAGTCAGCTTAATCCGACTCGACTATAGAACATTCTTTGAACTGAACTAACACAATGCCCCCCCCCCAAACCTACGGGACAGTTGTGTACTGATTACCTACCCTCCTGGCACCCTCAGCCACAAGTCGCCGCAAGGGTCACCGTCGCAGTACGAACGATTCCGAATGACAACGCCTGCGGCGCATCGGGTAGGCCTTCCCGCCAAGTGTCCGTGTGCAGATAGTGGCCTACCCTAGCGCCTGAGCGGCGATACCCCCTGATAGTCCCCAGCTCTAGTCAATGGAAGTGACGCAACCCTGCAACGAGACTACTACTACTGTTTCGGGTTCGGGTGTTTCAGTAGGCTTGTGGACTTGTGGTTGTTTCTGACTTCGCGGAGGTAAGAAACTGCTGTTGTTATTTTGTTTTTGTTCTGGTTCGTCATTGCAAATTATAGATTTGTCAATATAGTGTCATAGAGACACCTCTGTCTATGCGTGGACGCGGAAGAACGCGAACGTGATAAGTCTCATCCTCAAACTTATCTACATAACCTCATTGTGCCTACCTTGTGCCAAACTTTTTTTGACATTTCTCTAAGGCATGATTAAATGGATGTCTACAATTTCTTCTGTTTCGCTTTTATCGGACTGTTGGTATTTGGTGTCTAGCCAAAGATGTTGAATCTGATTCAGATTCTTTTATTCAACCAAATGAACAGGGAGAAAATAGGGTATGTAATGTCAAGCAAAAAGACAGGAGTTACAAAATTACAGAAGTAGCTGACATAGCATCATAAACAAGTAAGCCTGGAAACTCGCAAAAAAGAGTGTTCAAAATGACACCACTAAATAACCTGAATAAAAAAGTTCATTGCTTTAATTAAGACCAGCGCCTTAGCTCTACAATCGTACTACTGGTAAAGAACGAGTATTGAAAGCCTCAAATGGCCTAAAATGAAAAATTGGTCGATATTTTTCATAATGTTGGTGCAGTGTCCATTGAGAGTAATTGTAGCCCCCCGCTCCTCATTTCATCACCCTCACAGCTCTAGCTCATGACTCTCCTCCTGCAGGTACGGAGGGAAATAATACTCAGTAGTAATGTGAGGATGTTTTTAAAATAGAAAAGAGCGCCAGTTTGCTCATTTTCTGTCAGGGAATAACTGCTGTAAATCTCAGATATAGTCCCCAAAATTTTTGAGCTCTTCAAGTGGGATTCTAATTTTTTGTTTACATTCAGAATAAATTTTGAAGCCTCTGAGATCCCTCACGTCTTTAACCTCTCTGCTGCACCAAAGAGAATGGAGGACACCATGAAGCAGGACGGGAAGAAACGAGGGCTTACAAAAAAGTTATACTTTATTTATTTTCATGAAATCTTACAAATATTAATTATGATGTGTTTAGGTTCAT